TCCAAATGTGTATGAATCCACCGGCCTTGCTTCAGAAAGACCCAGTGTGGAGAGCTTTGAAAAGATTCCAGACGAAATAAAAATGGTTAGGGAGTTTAAACAGCCCTACAAGCTTAACCCGCTTGTTGGGGAGACAATGTTGTTGGTACATGAACGTCCCCATGTTGATTCTTTGACTAAGCAGTCTGTGACTCAGGTACTGGGGAAAGATGGGGTTACTGGTTTTTCAGAGCAGAACAGCCTTATGACTGAACCCACACGGATGCAGGGGAGAGCAGGCAAACTCCTCTCTAGATATTATGGATATGACTTGGAGTCTCTTAGTGGACTTGACATCGGATTCCATGTGGTACCTGGAATCCGAACAATCTTTTGTTCAGAACAAAAGATCCGATCTTTTGTTCTGAACAAAAGAACAACCTTTTGTTCTTCCAAGGTTGGTAAGGGAAGAACAAAAGAACCTTGAGTCTAATGTGCTAGTGAAGATGGACGGTATCTCTTTAAGACAGAGTTCAGCCTTGGAATTGGTAACGCTTGAGGATCTGAAAATTGATAAACAGGCGAGTGTCTGTGTTGATGCAAATTACCGGTCTGACTGGGGGGAGAAAGACGTGCCTGTAGCTGTTCGCAAAAAGGACACCCCCAGCCGGCCAATGGACTCTGTTAAGCAAAAGAGCTCAGATCTCCAGAACACGAAGAAAGGGGAAAAGTTGATCCTGCGAATGAAAGCCACAGGTTAACCCTCAAATGCCAAAACCCCAATGGGTGTTGAGCCAAAGACGTGGCATGACAAACATGATTGTGAATGTACACTGGTAATAAATGTGATGTTAATGTTCACTTTTGTGACTGTGGTGCTGATACCAAGAACCATAAACATGTACAATGTGCAGGGTTTTTTGGAAAAACCCTTGAACATGTTGGGGGTGATACATAAGAACTCATTATGTTGTAAAAGCCTTCATGGTTAGACTGTTTCACGACATGACAACACACACTGTGTTAAAAGGCCTGGTGATACTGATATCCCACAGTTAGTGCCTGTATCTGATCGTGAAACTGTACACAGCAGAAAAAACCACTACAAGCTTGAACTGCTGTGCAAAAGGGAAACTGAGGTACAACACCTCACAGCCTTCATGGCTGGATGCCAGAGTAAGTGCTCTTTGAAAAACATTAATGGTTACATTAAGTTAACATGTAGACCAAACCCTGGAATCACTAAAGTCTTTCCCAAAGTATGGCTGGGGCCAACGCAGGAATCAATAATTTGGCCTTACAAAGAATTCAGTGTAAACACAGCTCATATCAGTGTTGGAAGGTCCTTAAGGTGTATCCAGGAGCTTTAATTTCGCCTGTCCACACCAGCCTCACTGTGACGCATGGTTAGAAAGGGTTAAACATCCTGTAAAATAAATAACCCTCAAAAGACATGTGGAGAGAGAATGTTTGTGGTTTTGTGTATTTACGTATGTATGAGTAGGGTGGACAATGTAATCAACAGTCCCTGTCTGTGCTGTATTCTGATCATTCAGAGGTCAAAAGAACAACCTGTCATTTAAATGAATCGCAAACACGGGATATCTCAGTATTCGTCTCTCTTTGAAATGTGCTGGGAATGGTGGAGGAACAAGCAAATGGCTGTACGTTAATTTGTATAGCTAAGTACCGGTGCTGGACCTCCTTCAACGTCATCCTAACTCCCTTTTGTTCCCCCAGGAACTCCAACTTGTCAAAAGACATGAAATTGTATGAAAGATCCTTGGGTTCTGATTCTGTCATCTCAGATCTGTTTAGGCTTCGTCCGAGGACGTTTGAGTCGCAAGACTGAGGTCCCAGTTATGCTGGTAGGCCCTGAATATGAGATTTGGACATTGGACTATAAGCAATGAACTTTTTCTGAAAGAATTCTTTGCAACTACGAAGCTCACCATCTCTGCTGTGAATCTGCACCTCAATGAACTGAACTCATGTCTGTGTGTATATTGGTATTTTAACCAGACTTTCTCTCTTTTGTTTTTTAATAAAGTTTAGTTTAGTTCATAAGAATTGGCTGTAGTGTGTATTTGGGTAAGATCTGGAACATTCGTTAACCTGGGAGGTGATGTGTCCGATCCTTTGGGATTGGTAGAACCTTTTCTTTTATATGATGAAATAAGATTTACAGAAGTTTTCATTATATGTGACGTGGGTACCTGGATGGAGGCCTGCGTCTGGGTCACTTGAAGGGAACTGTGTTGTTTGGACTTCTGAGTAACCAATAATGTAATAAAGAAGCCGGTTTATTCTGTCTTGGTAAATCTAAGTGTTGGAATATCCACCAGCTTTATGGGGATTGTCTGTGTGATGTTGCACCCCATAAGGCTTTATGGAACTATGCTTATGAATGTACATATGACATAACTGGGATATGTTTTATGCTACATGTTACACAGCCTATATCTCTGTAAAGGTTATGATCTACTGAATCTATTCATCCTATTTGTATGCATGTATCATCTTTGTATTCGAAGATATGAATATTGGCTGTGTACTTGCTTGATTTTAAGTAGCCCAGTAGAGCATTTGGTCAGCTTCTTTAGAAAGGAATTTGCAAGTTAAGTGCCCAATCAAGAAACGCTTAAGCGAACAATGAACTTGGAGATGCCAATCCACATCGGAGCTTTCCCAGGAATGTGCCCTGGCTGGTGACATGTGACTTACCCATATGACTCCAAAACTCCATCTTGGAGTTGGATTTTGCATAGGAGAGAGGAGGGGGTCTCCACCCACAAGAGAAAGTCTATTTAAGCCCCTGGGGGACCCCTCCATTTTGTCTTCTGCTGGCTCAAGAGATAGCCTCTCCACCCCCAAAGGTTACCTGAAAGAAACTGGAACAAAGGACAGTAACTACAGGGGGTGTGAGTGATTGCTGGACCCAGACTAGAAGGAAGCTAGTCTGTAAAAGAAGCTTACCGGAACATCTCTGAGGGTGAGATTTCATCTGTAATTTTGTTTTATTTTGTTTGTGTTTTTGTTTTACTTTGTTTGGTAATTCACTTTGTTCTGTCTGTTACTACTTCGAACCATTTAAATCCTACTTTCTGTATTTAATAAAATCACTTTTTACTTATTAATTAACCCAGAGTATGTATTAATACCTGAGAGGGCAAACAGCTGTGCATATCTCTCTATCAATGTTATAGAGGCCGAACAATTTATGAGTTTATCCTGTATACGCTTTATACAGGGTAAAATGGATTTATTTGGGGTTTGGACGCTATTGGGAGCTGGGCATCTGAGTGTTAGAGACAGGAGCACTTCTTTTTTTCTGTTTTTAGTTAAGCCTGCAGCCGTTGGGGGACATGGTTCAGACCTGGGGCTGTGTTTGGAGCAGGCTAGCGGGTCTGGCTCAAACCAGGCAGGGCACTGAAGTCCCAAGCTGGCTGGGAAAACAGGCTCAGAGGTAGTCAAAGCAAATCAGGTGGCAGTTCCAAGGGGGTTTCTGTGATCCAACCCGCCACAGGCTGCCCATTCTTTGCAGTTCATCCTAATTGAGTGACCATAGCTGGCCCCCACTGGGACCCCAGTCACAGTCAAGGAGACATGTGCGTCGATCTACTTGCCGGTAGTGGTAGCTGGTTGGGATTCACTCATATTGGGCTATATAAACACAGAGACCCCCTGGGAGCCTACAAAGACTTTATTCGTCTTGCAGACACTCCATGTAGAACAGCCTCTGGCTGAGGAATTAGCCACTGGAAAATTTTCAAGCAGCTCTATTAGAAATTTATCTATTTTTTTAATGAAAACTGAAATTTTCACCTAATCCCGTGACTCCCGGAGCAGGGTCTCTAACAAAGCACCAAATATCAGTAGTGCTGGCAACACTGGAATATTTGCAGTCCTCTCTTGGCTGTTGCTCTTCCTTTCTGCAATGAAACGCGATGGAGGAAAACACAACCCAGTCTGCTGATATTAGCTGCAGCTCGCTCTCTTCCACGGCACCGCAGCTGCAGCCGACCTCCTAGTGCCTGGGTTCCCCACAGCCCACGGGGCTCAGCTCTGAGCAGCCGTGTGCCTTGGGTGGTCACTTCCATTTTCCTAGCTCTTTCTGCTATTTAGAGGGGCTTAATTGCTCCTTGCACTGAGCCTGAAGGCAGGTGCTTGCCGCAGCCATCGGCTTTCATGTGGTCTGGGGTTGTCTTTGCACCCAAGAGTCACCCGTTGGCAGCCCTTAGCAACCTTCAGCATAACAACACGTAAATAGTGAATAGGGGGAACTCCAGAATATCGTTAGGCCAGGCGTCACCAGGTGGCGCTGTTACACTTAGCCTGGGCAGGACATTTTCTGATTGTGCGAGCAGGTTGTGACTCGCAGGGAGATGTGCTGGGGTTTTGCTAGTTCTGGGGTGGGGGAATTGTGCAAGGTTTTTGTGTGGAGGGAGGTGTGCAAGAGCAGGTGGGTTTGCTGTGCCCTGAAGCTTCTGATTGGAGTCAATTCTGGAGGCAGAATTGCTCCCTGAAGCACTGGTGTTTGGCAGAGACACATGAAAGCGGAGCAGACATGGTCAGCGCTGGTGCACACAAACACAAGTGAATGCAGGGACGCTCCTGGGCAATTGCATCTCTGGCCATGCTTTATTCAGAGCAGTTTGAAATGCACAGGGGGACTCGGACCATTTCTGGAGTCTCCGGGGAGCTGGGAGCCAGGACTTCTGGGTTCTATCCCCAGCTCTGGGAGGCGAGTGGGGTCTAGTGGTTAGAGCTGGGGGGCTGCAAGTCAGGAGTCCAGGGTTCTGTTCCCTCGCAGGGATCTTTGAAAGGCTGGGGGAGAAGCTGTGAGGGGATATTAATGATACCCAGCACTTTGCTCCAAACCCCAACGGAATTAGCAGAGAGTCTCTTCTTGGCTGTATCGGACTCTGTTTCAAGCCCCTGCCCATCCAGGGATCCCAAAGACCTTTGCAAGGGCAGCTCGCCATTGTTATCCCCCTTACAAAGAGGGGGAAACTGAGGCACAGTCAGGCGCGGGGAAAGGCAGAGCTCGTTGGTTATACTGAGACACTAATGGCCTGTGGGGCGGCCAGTCATGCAGATGGGGCATTAGCAGAGGAATAGCCCCAGAAGGAAAGGGAGGAAAAGGGGGACCCGGGGGACGATGCTGGCCAGGGTGAAGGGACCCCAGGCCAGAGTCGGGGTGGCGCTGCTGGTCTGCGCTTTGGGCGCTGGGCTGCATTGGACATTGGTCAGTTTGTAGGTGAACACCCCCGATTCCAGCGTCTTGATTTCACAGGCCGCCCGGGTAGCGCAGCCCCGGCCTGCAAACGGGATCGCGACACCACCTGTGTGGGGAAACCAGAGCAGATCAGACACGGCACGGCCTAATCCCTTCCGTGACACCATGATCGGGCCCAGGCAGGTTCTCCAGGGACCTCGTCTCCAAGCCCTAGTGGCCTTGGGGTAGCTCCCGGCCCGGTTAATAAATTCTCAGGCCAGGAAGGACCCCTGTGATCAGTGAACGTGGCGTCATGCGTAGCGTAGGCCCCCGGACTTTAAAGCCAGGTTTTCCATGCCTTGGATCATTCCCATGGCTCTTCTCTGGACCCCCCCCCTCCCCACACACACACACTCCAATTTACCACCATGCTCCCCGACCCCAGCACTGGACACAGGATTCCAGCAGCGATGGAACCAGTATCAAGTATGGAGGTAAAATAAACCTCGGGGGGTTGGGGGAACCCCGCTCTTCTTCCAGCACGGTCCTCACGATGCATCCACGTTTCTTTGCAAGATGCCCTGGCCTCTGAATCGTTATCACTGGCCTAGCAAAGGGAGGTCCTGCATGCCGTATGACAGCATCTCATGTTTTGGTGGATAGGACCATGCGGAGCCCCTGGCTTGGGGGTACCTGGGTATGGGGGGCACATGGAATAAGGAGGAGTTGCAGGGAGTTCCTGGGGCACAGGGGGCTCTGAGGGGGTGCAGTGTGCTCATCTTACAGAAGCAATGCCCTCCTGGCAGATGTTTCACCTAGTCAGACAAGCTTGCAGTCCGGTATTTTTCATGTGGTATCTTTCCAGGGCAGCTGTGGCAAGCAGCAGGAGAAATTGCTCTCTGCATGAATCTCTGACTCCAGAAATATTCCCTGAGAGTCCCTTGAGTTTGAACGGAGATTAAGGGGACAGCCTGCATGCCATTTACACCCACCTCTGTTCCAGGACTGGTGGAAACAATGTAAACAGGCAAGCTGCCCTAAGGAAATACTAGACTTTGCCCCACGGATTTCTCCTCCAGTGGGAAACTGATCTACAAGGCCCTAGAATTTTGCTGCTGCTCAGCAAATTGGGTAAAATATTTTTACCTCTTTTGACCAGAGCGGATCACCAAAAATATGCCAAAGGACTCCAAGTCTTGCTGGAATCTCCAGGGGGGCTGAGAGTCAAGACTCCTGGGTTCTATCCCTGGCTCTGGATGGGGAATGGGATCTAGTGGTTAGAGCAGGGGGCCTGGGAGCCAAGACGTGTGGGTTCTATCCCTACCTCTGGGAAGGACATGGGGTCTAGTGGTTAGAGAGAGCTGGTAACCAGGACACCTGGGTACTATCCCTGGCTGTGGGAGCGGAGTGGGGTGCAGTGAGCTAGAGTGGGGGGGCTTGGAGCCAGGACAAAGTCTGATCATGCAGTTCTTTGTTTTGAGGGATGGGCTCTATTGTTTCGGCTGTTGGTAAGCAAAGGGACGGTTCCCGGCTCAGCTGGCACGGACGAGCCCCAGGACACCCCCCGGCTCCCCGGGGATTTAACCCGCCCCGGAGTGAAGGAAGCCGCACCTTGCGCCAGTGTCCCGCCGACGGCAGCACATTGGTCAGCACCTCCGGTGCAGCGCAGGTTCCCGTCGCTCTCGCAGCTCTCGAAGCCCGGGGCGTAGCAGGCCGGGCACTGCAGCCCGTTGGGGACGTTGCTGATAGCCTGCCCTGAAAGGCAGCCGGGGAAAGAAGGTTTTGCTCTGGGAAGAAACTGCGGCAGGAGAACGTAGGACAGGCAGGACCCTCCTGGGCCATCATCCCAGCACATCATCCCGCTCAGGCAGCTAGCGCAGTTATTTGCCCCCACTCCTCCAGCTGTCAGCTGTCCCGCCACCCCTCTCCTCTGGCCACTAGAAACATCCTGACTTCCAGCCTCGGTCACTTCCTGGCCCGTGTGTTCCCGCACCCACCTCATCCACCAACTTCTATCATTCTTATCCCTCAGGGCTGCTTCCCCCTGTCGTGTTCTGGGGGACACTCCGGACCAGTCAGGGCTTGCGTCCACCTTGCTCCGCGCACGTTTGCTCCTTTCGAGAGACAAAACCCAGCAGTTTCCAGGGGCTTCAACCCGCCTCGGTGGAAGGACCCATGTTTCTCCGCGTGCAGGAGCTCCGGCTCGCTGGTGCCTGTCCAGCGACGGAGGCCGAGATGGGTTCTTCAACCAAAGGGATTGAAGAAAAGGGTCGGTAAGAAATGGCCCTAAAGAATTCCGAATGGGGGTGCGGACTCCTTTGGAAATCTCAGACAGGTTGAAAACCACTGATCTCAGCCAGTCTGGTGCTGTGTTTGAACAGAAGCGATGGTTAACTGCTGGTACTGTGGCAAGCTGCAGGGTCTCTTTAAAGGAGCAAACAAACCGGATTGTGCCTCTGACAGGGGGGCGTGGGTTGGGGTCACCTTTGCAAGCAGCAGCCATGGAGTGGAGGGTACCAGGGGCAGAGCGCTGGACACCTGCTGCCCAGCCCACAGACACTCAGGGGACCACAGGCTGCAGGCATCCAGGCTGCAAGCTACAGAAGTAGGGGATTTTAAGGCACACATGGTTACAGGGTGACCCCTTACTGGTCTGGTTTGCACCCCAGAAGATGCCCCCTAAGAGCAATGAGGTCTCCTCTCAGCCTGCATTATCCCAGGCTAAACAAACCCAGCTCTTCCAGTCCCCTCTCATAAATCCGGCTCCCCATGTCTCTGACCAGCCCCGTAGCCCTGCTCTGCACCTGGCCCAGTTTGAATTCATCTGCCTTGAAGGTGGGGGACCATAGCTGGACACAGTGTGCAAGGGAAGGTCTTACCAGGACAAAGGCATTAAAACTTCCCTCTCTCCCCTGGACATGTCTCATCCACACTTGCTTCCCATGACAAATGACTTCCCCCCGAACTGCCCGCTTGCCCCAGGGTCTTCGGAAATCTCCTGGCTTTTCCCCGAGGCCGGGAATAGCAGCTCCTTGGAGGTTTGGGGTTCGACCCAGCGGCTTCCCCACGCCCGCGAATCAGACCCGCTGCCGGCGGTACGTACTGGAGGGCGTGGACTCGGCACTGCAGTCACCGCTCTTGCAAATCTCTGACCGGATCTCCACGGCCACCTTGGCCCCGAAGTAAAAAGCCAGGAAGCCCGTGAGGCTCTGGCGGGAGTCGGCGCAGGACTGGTACGTGCCCGAATTCTCCGCGCCTGTTGGAAAGGCAGGGAAGCAAGAAGGGAACGTCACGCGCCGGTTACACTGACGGAGCCACCGCAGCCGCATGACCCCCGTTAAATATTGGCATGAGCAGATCCTCAGAGGTGGGTCTCCCACAGCCAGGTGAGGGCGCTAACCACCGGGCGATACAGCCGATTTCTCCCCAGCCCAGGGACCATTCTGTTAGCTGCCCCAGTCAGAGCAGCTCCAAGAGCAGAGATTAGCCGGGCCTGGGGGTCTCCCTTGTTTCTTTCCAAACGGGAAATGCCTGGCCTGACTTGGGCACCCACCTCCAGGGGAGAGATCGTCCCAGGCAGAGAGAGGGGCCTCCCGCCCAAGGCCCTGATCTAGGAGAGTTGGGCGCCTCAGGGGATCGGGCCCTGAATCCCAGCCGTTCCCCCTACATTTTCTTCCTTGGCTCCTTGCTCAGCAGGATGGCCCCTGAGCCGCGGCCGTTCCAGGATGCGCCCCCCACCCCTCGCCACCTTATAACCATCAGCAGCTGCCTCTGTAGGACCGCAGGGCTGGAAGCAGTGGGGGGTTCGTCCCAGGGTGCCCTCCCTGCGAGGCTCAATTCCAGGGTCCTGACTAGTGTTGCCCCCCCAAAACCACAGGGGGGGTGGCATCATCCCACTGGGGGGGCTGCCATCCCTGGGCCATGATGCTGAGTGGGGCGGGCACTTCCCTTTGGCTGTCATATTGTCCCTTGGGACAAGAAACTGAGTCCCCAGGCCTGGGGGGCCCCTCGCTGCTGGGGGGCTCCCTGCGATCACCCAGCGAGCGCCCCATGCCACCGCTAGTTGGAAGAGACCTCATCCAGTCCAGCCCCCGGTGCTGAGGGCGGATCAAGGCAACCTAGACCAGCCCTTACAGGTGTTCGTCCAACCTGGTCGGAAAACCTCCGCTGATGGGGACCCCATGACCGCCCTCGGGAGCAGACTCAGGAAGCTAGGGAGCCGCATGGCAAACGCGCCCAAGAGCAGGGTTCCCGCCGCACGGGCGCCTCCCACTGCCGCCACGACGGGACTCACCGAATGTGTTGTGTTCTTGAACAATGATGCAGGCGTCCTGGGGCGGGGAGCAGGTCTGGGGGACGGTGTGACAGCTTTGCCCAGATTTGCAATAGAAACAGGCCAGAGGCGTCCCTGAAAAGAGAGGGGGGGCAGGGAGAAAAACTCATCTTTGTACCCAACCAATGTCTGGCTTCCCAATTTTGCTTGCCTCAGTTTCCCCCGGACTTGGCACTGCTACCCAGTGGCCCGGGGGAAAGGGTTGAGTGTGCAAAAGCCCTTGGAAGTGTGCAATAGCCCCGCTCACCTACAGCCACCCTCACTCAAGGGGGCAGTATTCCACCCCAGGGCTGAGGAGCAGATCAAACCACCAAGGGGCTGTGACATCTTCTGCGTTCACCTGATAATAACCCGCAAATGTTACCCCACCGGGTCCCGACGGCAGTGGAAAATTTCCCATTCCGGCCATTCATGGATGGAAAATGGATCTTGGCAAATGGTTGAATATTCTGATGTCACCCCCCGATTGCTTGTGGGCCCAGATGACCCAGCCGCCCCAGAAACGGAGGCGAGGGGCAGACAGGAAAGCAGAGGACGTAGCAGTTCTTACAAAACATGGGTGCATCAACACAGCTTTCACCATCATCTGCAGCTGTTTGCTTTGGGCCCATTTCCCTGTGAGTTCTCCGTGCACCGATCTCTTCACAGAAGCTCTGATCGGTGCCCGCACACGACACCATCTTGCCCAAAGAGCCGTGGGTCAGACCCAGCTCTGGCATTGTTTCTAGGGCTTGTGGCTGAGCGACCCCTTCTGCTGTGGGTCACCTCTCACCCCCCGGCCCTCCTGGAGTGCACGGGGTCCGACTCATATAGCCTTCAGGCTCCGCCCACTGCCCGCAGCCTCGGCAGTGATTGGTGATTGATCAGAGCCAGCTGGGCCACACCTCCTGCTGATTGGCAGGGCTAGTTCCCCACCCACAGCCCATTGGGTAGCTGGTGGGGTTGTTTTGTCTTTGTTTTTCCCCACCCGCGGGACTGCACTCTGCCCCCCCTGCCCCCTGTGGCTGAAGTGCTGAACAGCCAGAAACTGAATTGATTTCGGGGGCCCAAAATGGTCATATTTGAAGCCAGAAATAGCACCCGGTGCATCATGGGAGGTGAAATTCAGTTGTCTCCTGCTCGTATTCTCCTACCTGGACTACATGTCTCATGGCCTCCCCCCCCCCCCCCCCCGCCCGCTCTAACCACTAGACCCCACTCCTCTCCCAGAGCTGGGGAGAGAACCCAGGAGTCCTGGCTCCCAGCCCCCTGCTCTAACCACTCAACCCCACTCCCCTCCCAGAAACAGACAGAGAACCCAGGAGTCCTGGGTCCCAGACCGCCCCCCACTCTAACTCACTAGACCCCACTCCGCTCCCAGAGCTGGGGGGGGGAGAACCCAAGAGTCCTGAATCCCAGCTGGCCCTTCTCTAACCACTAGACCCCACTTCCCTCCCAGAGCTGGGACTAGAACCCAGAAGTCCTGGATCCCAGCCCCACCCTGCTCTAACCACTAGACCCCACTCCCCTCCTAGAAAGAGCACAAGGTCCCTGAACTACAGTTCCCACAAGGCACTGCAGCAGCTTTTCAGGATTGAAATTTTGCATGTTTCGATTTTCCATGGACAGCTTGAAATTTCCACTGGGGGGGAACCCCCTGACGCCCCCCATTTTCCAACCGACGTTATCCCCAAACGACCTGGAGTTTGGGGGTGTCTCAATCACAGAACACAGTGAGCATCGCTAGAGGGCTCACAGGCTCTTTAAAGGAGGACCACGCCCCTCCTGTCCCCTATGGGGTGGCCACAGCTCAGGCTGCCGGCCCCGACCGCTGGTGACTCACCCGTTTCGTTCTGAGCTGCTGCGGTCGCTTGGAGAGCGCTGAGGACACAGAGGGCGATGAGCACTTTTGTCATGACGGAGCAGACCACAAGGTCACGTGGGCCCTGTAGGACAGCAAGCGCTGACAGGTCAGGTGATTAACAGGCAGACACTGGGGCTGGGAGCCAGGACTCCTGGGTTCTCTCCCCGTCTCAGCCACGGACCTGGTGTGTTTGAGCTGGGACTGATCAGGTCTCTGAGCCTCGGTGGTCTGAACCTGAGAGTTACAATGTGGATGGGACTAGAAAGAAAATGAAACGAGTTAAGACCACTAGAAAATATATTAGCATCACCAAAGCAATGGCCCATCTAGCCCAGGGTCCTGTGTCTGGCAGTGGCCAGTGCCAAGTGCCCCGGAGGGAATGAACAAAACCGGACGATTATCAAGTGATCCAGCCTCTGTTGGCCACTCCCGGCTTCTGGCAGTCAGAGGTTTAGGGACACCCAGGGCCGGGGGCTAATAGCCACTGATGGACCCATCCTCCAGGAACTGATCTCATTGTCTTCTGAACCCAGTTATACTGCTGGGTTTCACAACATCCCCTGGCGGGGGCGCCATTTAGGGAGGGCAAGGGGGGCTTCTGCCCCCCATCCCCCGAGTTTCCCACCACAGCGGGGTGCAAACAGGAAAATGATCCGCTGCCCCGCGCTCTCGCCGGAGGAAGCCGCAGCCCGTAGCTGGGCTCGGAGTGGGACGTGGCTGCTGGCTGACAGGGCTGTCCCCCGGGAGCTGCACCTACAGCTCCCCCCCGCCCCCTCTCGACGCCGGGCTGTGGGATGTAAATCCCCGGCTGTGTGGGCTGCTGCTGCTCCGTGGCCGGGAGGGGGAGGCGGGAGCTGTCTGTATGGCTCTGTCTGCCCCCACCCTGAGCAGAGCGGGTATAACGAGATCCCCACATGCCCCCTCCGGCTGGGCGGCTGAGAGCCTGGGCGCCCATTAGCCCCCCTGCCAGCAGCAGCGCTCGCAGCCCCGGCACCAGAGGGCACTCAAAGCCCTTCCTGTGGGGAAATAGCTCCTCGGTCCCCCGCTGGTGGGATGGGAGCCAGGGGAGGGCAGGTGCTGGGCAGCCTTGGCCCAGAGAAGGGACCTGGTGAGTGCTGAGCTCCAGGAGTCTCCCCCACAAAGCCGGGCAGTTTTATTTCCAGTGTCACCGTCGGTGCTGCCCTGAGACGTTTCAGTCGCTCCTGATGGAAACCAGAGGGTGTTATTGTCTGTACCTCGGCATCTCAACCAGCAAATATAAATGGTTTCTTTGTTCAGTTAGTCTATGGACCCTGGGACTTTTTCACAGTTCCTGGAGGGCTCTGAATCGTACCAGGTTGTTACAGCCTGGAAACAGGTCTCTTTCCCAACTTCCTTAGTATCTGAATGTGCCCTAGATATGACATTGCTTAGAGGGCAAATTTGCTTGATAACATTTGACACGGCTAGTGTCAGACTGTATTTTCATTATAGCACGTTGAGAATCATTCAGCTGCGTCACTGCAGATCCATACTCCGGATTCCTATAGGACATTATAAAACTGAACATCTTCCAGAGGCTAAAACCGGCTTTTAGATCAGCCCTTCGTAAATACAAGTTCAATTTATCAATTGGTTTTTACGTTTTGAATCTTTACACCTTGAGTTCCTTGAACTGGAGGGTGTTTCGTTTGTGCTGGAGAACTATCAAATGCATTGTATAAATAGATTATAATCTTTAAGACTTTATTTCTAGTTACTGAGTAACTTCATAAGAAAAGAAAATGCATCACCATTGTAAAAAGGTGATAACATTGTTATCTACTGGAAATACACCTTCGGGTTTCTTAGAGCTGATGGGAAACCCGTGTTGGCCAATGTATTGTCATATTTTCTTTCCAATTATCACCTGAAAAACTTTTTGTTCTTCCATTTTATTAAGCTAGTGCCAGAATGAACTTCTCTAATTTATTAGTTATTCCATGTTTTAGAAGAATGTTTGAGGGGAAACTCAACTACTTTAGACTCAACTTTTTCATGAGCAATGAGATACACAAATTAAAAGTGCATATATTTGCCTGCTTATAATTTTCCAAAAGGTAATATACATTAAAATGTTAGTTTTTGTATTAAGGCTTCAAAACTGATATAGGAAAGTAGATGCAAAGTAATGCATATCGGAAAACATAACCCCAACTATACATATACAATGATGGGATCTAAATTAGCTGCTACCACTCAAGAAAGAGATCTTGGAGTCAGTGTGGATAGTTCTCTGAAAACATCCACTCAATGGGCAGCGACAGTCAAAAACGGGAACAGAATGTTGGGAATCATTAGGAAACGGATCAATAACAGGACAGAAAAGAAAATATTGGATCTATAGAAATCCATGGGATGCCCACATGTTGAATACTGTGTGCAGATCTGGTCATCCCATCGCAAAAAAGTTCTATTGGAATTGGAAAAGGTACAGAGAAGGGCAACAAACATGAAGAGGGGGATGGAACAGCTGCCGTATGAGGAGAGTTTAAAAAGACTGGGACTGTTCAGCTTGGAAAAGAGACGACTGAGAGGGGATATGAGAGAGGTCTATAAAATGTTTTCGGAGATAGTGGAGATAGTGAATAAGGATGTGTTATTTACTCCTTCTCATAACAGAAGAACTAGGTGTCACCCAGTGAAATGACTAAACAAAAGGAAGTATTGCTTCACACAACGCACCGTCAGCCTGTAGAACTCGTTGCCAGAGGATGTTGTGAAGGTCAAGACTATAACAGGGTTCAAAAAAGAACTAGATAAGTTCCTGAAGGATAGGTCCATCAGTGGCTATTAGCCAGGATGGGCAGGGATGTGACCCCCTGCTCTAAGTGTCCCTAGCCTGTTTGCTAGAAGCTGGGAGTGGATGATGGGATGGGTCACTCGATCAATGCCTGTTCTGTTCATTCCCTCTGATGCACCTGGCATCGTCCTCTGGTACTAGCTAGGATACTGGGCTAGATGGACCATTGGTCTGACCCAGTCTGGCTATTCTTATTCTCTTACGATCCCTCAAGGCTTGGGGTGGGAATATCTTGCTATGTTATCTCCTGATTGTTCTAAATTTACACATACATGTAAAATGGGGCTTTCACTGGGGTTTCTATCTATATTTTTCTTTCTTCATATAGGAATTAGATACAGAGCGCCTGCCACCTAATTCTAAGTTATTATCTGCCAAAAAACTAAAGATTTCAGCTGCCTACATAGCTCCTGGAATGATGGTTAAAGTTTCCCCCCCCCCCCCGAAATGGTGCCCCTGGCAGCGAATGCCACAGGCTAGCTGTGCGCTGGGTGAAGTCGTACTTCCGTATGTTTCTTTTAAACCTGCTGCCTAGTCATTTCATCTGGTGACACCTGCTTCGTGTGTTATGTGAAGGAGTAAATAACACTTCCTTGTGCACTTTCTCCGCACCACTCATGATTTTATAGACCTCTCTCCTATTCCCCCTTAGCCATCTCTTTTCCAAGCTGAAAAGTCCCAGTCTTATTAATCTCTCCTCATATGGAAGCTGTTCCATCCCCCTCATCATTTTTGTTGCCCTTCTCTGCACCTTTTCCAATTCCAATATATCTTTTATGAGATGGGACAACCACATCTGCATGCAGTATTCAAGATGTGGGAGTACCATGGATTTATATGGAGGCAACATGATATTTTCAGTCTTATTATCTATCCCATCCTTAATGATTCCCAACATTCTGTTCCCTTTTTTGACTGCCGCTGCACATTGAGTGGATGTTTTCAGAGAACTATCCACAATGACTCCAAGATCTCTTTCTTGAGTGGTAACAGCTAATTTAGTCCCCAACACTGTATATGTATAGTTAGGATTATGTTTTCCAATGTGCATTACTTTGCATTTATCAACCTTGAATTTCCTCTGCCATTTTGATGCCCAGTTTGGTGAGATCCCTCTGTAACTCTTCGCAGGCAGCTTTGGGCTTAACTCTCTTGAGTAATTTTGTATCATCTGCAAACTTGGTCACCTCACAGGTTTTTCCAGATCATAGAATCATAGAATATCAGGGTTGGAAGGGACCTCAGGAGGTCATCTAGTCCAACCCCCTGCTTAAAGCAGGGACCAATTCCCAACTAAATCATCCCAGCCAGGGCTTTGTCAAGCCTGACCTTAAAAACCTCTAAGGAAGGAGATTCCACCACCTCTCTAGGGAACCCATTCCAGTGCTTCACCACCCTCCTAGTGAAATAGTTTTTCCTAATATCCAACCTAGACCTCCCCCACTGCAACTTGAGACCATTGCTCCTTGTTCTGTCATCTGCCACCACTGAGAACAGCCGAGCTCCATCCTCTTTGGAACCCCCCTTCAGGTAGTTGAAAGCAGCTATCAGATCCCCCCTCATTCTTCTCTTCTGGAGACTAAACAATCCCAGTTCCCTCAGCCTCTCCTCATAAGTCATGTGCTCCAGCTCCCGAATCATTTTTGTTGCCCTCTGCTGGACTCTTTCCAATTTTTCCACATCCTTCTTGTAGTGCGGGGCCCAAAACTGGACACAGTACTCCAGATGAGGGCTCACCAGTGCCGAATAGAGGGGAGTGATCACATCCCTCAATCTGCTGGCAATACCCCTACTTATACAGCCCAAAATGCCGTTAGCCTTCTTGGCAACAACGACACACTGTTGACTCATATCCAGCTTCTCGTCCCTAGGTCCTTTTCTGCAGAACTGCTGCCTAGCCATTCGGTCCCTAGTCTGTAGCAGTGCATGAGATTCTTCCGTCCTAAGTGCAGGACTCTGCACTTGTCCTTGTTGAACCTCATCAGATTTCTTTTGGCCCAATCCTCCAATTTGTCTAGGTCCCTCTGTATCCTATCCCTACCCTCCAGCATATCTACCACTCCTCCCAGTTTAGTGTCATCTGCAAACTTGCTGAGGGTGCAATCCACGCCATCCTCCAGATCATTAATGAAGATATTGAACAAAACCAGCCCCAGGACCGGCCCTTGGGGCACTCCGCTTGATACCAGCTGCCAACTAGACATGGAGTCATTGATCACTACCCGTTGAGCCCAATAATCTAGCAATGTATGGCCATGTTGAGCAGCACTGTTCCCAGTGGGACTCAGGACACCCACGTTCTATTCCTGGGTCAGCCCCAGACACCCATCTGAGTCATTTCATCACACTGTGCCTCAGTTTCCCCCATCTGTTAAGTGGACAGACTGATCCTTCCTTGGTCTATCTAGAGTGCAAGTGTTTTGAAGGCAGAGACTGTCTGTCATGAGCTGCTTACGCAGCAGCTGATCTCGGTCAGGGTCTGCACAGCACCTGGCACAATGGGGCCCTGATCTTGGCTGGGATCTGTGCAGCACCCGGCACAACAGAGACAATATTGGGGTCTGTGCACCGCCTGGAACAACAGGAACCCTGATCTTCTACTGCAAGATCTTTGGGGAAGACAGTACCCTTTCAGTACGTGCGTACAGCACCTGGCGCTCCCGGACGCCCATCGCTAACCGGAGCCACCGGCTGCTACCGTAGAATGAAGAATAATAAACGTACCTTTGGTTATCGTGGGCTTCAGCGGACCCAGGTGCTTCCCTCTCTGAAGTCTCAGTCACCAGCCGTGGCCAGAGCCCCCACCCTTCCTTCCTTTATAGCAGAACCAAAGGCTGGTTCAGATAGAGAACGGAAGCGGCGAGAGAAAGAACACGCAGCAGCAAAACCTCAGGATCCTGGTTACTGCTGGCGGCGTAACTAAGGGAATCAAAATAATAACTGAAATGTGTGGGGAGCAGTTGATGCCCTGGGCAGCCCTGTGGGAGGTGTGGGGATGGGTGTTTCTGAAGATCGACAACGTTCCCGGCCTAACGCACGGGGGAGATACCGAAGATGAGATAGAGCTTGATTTTCGTTGGGTTTTTGACATTCCCATAAGCAAGCCAGGGAAATGAGGCCTCAAAGAAATCACCACTAGGTGGGTGCACAACTGGTTGGAAGACCCTCCTCAAAGAGTAGCTATTAATGGTTAAACTGGGAGGATGTCTAGTGGGGTCCCGGGGCCAGTCCTGGGACCGGTACTCTTCCATATGTTTATTAATGTCTCGGATAATGGAGTGGGGAGCATGTCGCTAAGATCCGTGGCTGACTCCATGCCGGGAGGGGTTGCAAGCACTTTGGAGGGCAGGCTGAGAGTTTGAAACAGCCTGGACAAGTTGGAGAATTGGTCCGAAATCAACAGGAGGAAATTCTGTCAAGATAAGGGCAAAGAACGTCACTTAGGAAGGGAGACCCCAATGCACAGCTACAAACTGGGGAATGGCTGTGTGACGAACTGGGACTGTTCTTAATGTGGTCTTTGAATGCTGAGAGGGGAGTGTGGCTAGGATGGTCTGCATTGGGGGATGGGAGACTGGCCGTGAGGGAGAATACCTGAGCATGTAACATGAGAACCCAGGAAGGGGTTAGAGGCCAGGTGACACCTCTGCCCGGGAAACTGAACAAAGGCTGGAGGGAGAGTTTCAGAGCTGGCTGGTGGAAGGGCTGGGAGGTAGACAGGGCTCTGACCTCCCAAGGGGGATGTGGTTCCCTGGGACCCCAAGATGCACCTAATTGGGGGGGGCCTGTTGTCTGTGCCGGCAAGACCTGTCTTGGACTGTGTTCCTGTCATCTAAATAAACCTTCTGCTTTACTGGCTGGCTGAGAATCATGTCTGACTGTGAAGTGGGGGTGCATGCAGGTCTTCTGGCTTCCCCAGGACCCCGCCTGGGCGGACTCGCTGTGGGAAGCGCACGGAGGGGCATATGCTGAATGCTCCCAGGAGAGACCCAGGAGGTGAAGCCATGTGAGCTTCTTGCCCTGAAGACAGTCTGCTCCAAGGGAGAGGAGGCTCCCCAAAGTCCTGTCTGGCTTTGTGGGGAGCAGTTCCAGAGCATCACCCGGGGACTCCGTGACAGGCTGTATGGCTGGGAAGGATCTGGGGGTCAAGGAGGGTCACAAATTGAACCTGAGTCACAAAGCCATGCTGCAGTAGCATTCTGGGGTCATTCACCGAGGTGTCGTAGGTCAGACACGGGAGGTCATTGTCCCGCTCTGCTCAGCACTGGAGAGGCTCCAGCTGGAGAATTGGGTCCATCCTGGGCACAGCGCTGCAGGAAAAATGGGGACAAACTGGAGAGTCCAGAGGAGAGATCGTCCCTGGAACCCCCATCACGCTGGGTGCTGCACAGGCCCCGACCTACTTAGGGGCCCCCCTTATGCCAAGCGGGACAGACACCTTGACCAAGATCAAAGCGCTCGTTGTTCCAAGACTGGGCAAAGGGAAGATGTCACCCCTCGGGCCTGTAACAAAAGCCAGTGAGCCGGGTGGTAACTGGGTCCAGACGCAGACAGGTGGTGCTTTAATAAACGGAGTTTCATAGAATCATAGAACCATAGAATATCAGGGTTGGAAGGGACCTCGGGAGGTCATCTAGTCCAACCCCCTGCTCGAAGCAGGACCAATCCCCAACTAAATCATCCCAGCCAGGGCTTTGTCAAGCCGGGCCTTAAAAACCTCTAATGATGGAGATTCCACCACCTCCCTAGGGAACCCATTCCAGTGCTTCACCACCCTCCTAGTGAAAAAGTGTTTCCTAATATCCAACCTAAACCTCCCCCACCAAAATGTTTCCCTGACAAAGACGCGCAGGTTGGAACACGAGTTCTCTGGAAAGGAAATTGGGTTTGTGAAGGGACAGGGAGTTGGTGTGTGTTCTTGTCCCGTGACTCGGGAAGCCCCTCTAACTTAGGTGCACTTAGTGCACTAGCTGTCGCATGGACCTTGCTACTGCGCACTAAAAGTTTCCTCTTGCACTTTGATCTCCTCCCATTGCAAAGCAGGTGTTCATGTCCCCACATAGACAAGCCCTTAGCTTGGAGCGAAATGTATTTCAGACGCACGGAAGCGTCCGTGTCGGCTGTTTGTTGTTTGGAAATCGGTTTCTCTGCTGCTTTGTTCTATTTGCTAATAAACCTCCTTGTTTTAAGAAGGCTCGTTATGGGATAGAAGCGATCACAGCTTCCCGAAAGAGAGAGATGCAGGGCTGTGTGGGAACAGGAACTGCCAATTTATGGGAAAATTTGTGACGTTTGTGTTTCTTTACAAATCCGAATGCAAATCCTGAATGTCAATGCTTCCTGCTAGATGGGTATTTGGGGGGGAAACATTCGTTGTGGGTCAATCAAAGCATTTGGTTTCGATGTTGATGTTTTAAAATGTTTTTTACGCAATTTTAAAACAAAACAGATCAAAATCTTTCACAAAGAAATGAAAAACCAAAACATTCCCTCCCAAAAAGGTCGAAGCTGCGGCCGTATTGAAATGCTTTTGTTTGTTTTCCATCTTTCCCCCCGAAATGAAATTTCATCAAAATTGACACAGTCCCATGGGGAATTTCGGTGTTGCTGAAATGGTGTTTTCCAGCAAAAGAACATTCCCGCTAGCTCTAAACAGATGCCTAGTTGGACCAGGCTAGGAATAAATGGTCAGTACACATGGGTGTTGTGCCCACACTTGGTCTAAGAGTGGGAGAATTGCAAAATTCCACTGTAAGCCAGATAGAGGCAGGAGACCGGATACCTGGAGGAAGACCAAGGATCCCACTACTGCCACCAATCTAAGGGGGAAGTGTTTGGGGCTATGGGAAAGCTATGAATGCCCATAAACCAGCTCTAGGTGAGATATTATGCACAGACCAGAGGAAAATCACTTCACACAGAGCTGTTGTGGTTTCAGTGAAGCGGTATATTAGCCCATGAAATACACATACTCTCCAGCTCGCCTCCTAGCATATCTGTTCTTTACATCGACTGATTCATACAGAAAGCAGGAAGTAGCAGGATGCGGTTTATTAAAAATACCATGCACCTCACAGTGATGCTAAGGGAAGTTACACCAGTGACAAGAGACCAGAAGCCAACACCCAGTGGGGTGTAGCTTTATGGATCCTTTCATTTAGAATAGTCAAAAAACCAGGATAACAGTCTGGTGAAAGATTTCGCCATTCAGGCACAGCCAATTCTTTCAATGTTTGCTGATTTTCTTCAAGCCTCAGTTCCTGGAGTCAGGTGAATACGTGAAAATCTCCACTTTTGTCAAATAAAAAAATATCAGTTTCTAGTTCTTGTGACCACAAAGAACAGTTCAAAACTGAGAATCCTGTGTCCCGTTATTGCTGTTGATAAATGGAGGAGGGGTCAGAGAAGGGGTGACCTGATCACAGTCTTTAATGGGGGAAAGAAATTTGATCGGGGGCTCTTCAATCCAGCAATGGTCTAACACGATCCAATGGCTGCAAGTTGAAGCCAGACAAATCCAGATGAGAATTAAGGCACACATTTTTAACAGTGAGAGTAATTAACCTGTAGAACAGCTGGCTAAGCCCTGCGGTGGATTCTCCATCCCTGGCGATTTTAAAAGCAAGATTGGCTGTTTCTCTAGAAGATCTGCTTTTGTCCAAATGGGGATTATTCCGGGAAATCCTACAGCCCGTGTTAGGCAGGTGAGGTGAGGTGAGTGCAGCTGTCTCCCCTGGCCATAACATCTATGAAAATTGGAGGCTCGGGCCAGTCCTTTCCAGTGGACATTTCCTGCAAAATTCCCCCCTGAAATTCTGCTCAACATCACATCTTATCGGCCCGACTTCTGTTGGCGAGAGAGCTGGTCCAATCAAAGCTGTTCCTTCCCCCACCTTGTGTCTCTAACATCCTGGGACCAACGCGGCTGCGGCTACGCTGCAGACGAAATCAAGGTGAAGGTTTTCTGTCACCTCCGGGCGCCGACTTTCTTATTTCCCGGAGGGTGCTAGACCCCCGCTCTGCCCCAGGCTCTGCCTCCACTCCACCCCTTCCTCCAAGGCCCCGCCCCACCCCACCTCTTCCTGCCCCTGCCCCGCCTCTTCCCACCCTTGCTCCGCCCCCTCCCCCAGCGCCTCCTGCAGGCCACTGAACAGGTGATCTTGGTGGGCGGGAGGCACTGGAGGGAGGGAGAGAAGTTGATTGGCAGGGCTGCCGGTGGGTGTTTTTCCAGCCCCGGGGCACCCACGGAGTCGGCGCCTATGCTGTCACCGTTATTTTCGCTAGCGACTCTGGTTCCAGAGGGTGGGATCCCCTCCGGGACCACTTCCACTCGGCTTCTCCGGAGCGCCTGGTCCTGTTCCAGGAGGAAACTTCGTCCAGTTCTCTGGGGTCTAAAAAACCCCTCTCGGTTCGAGCCTGGATTTCGTCCCCCGGGTGCCGCTGTTTGGCCGACGGCGACGCGATGCTGAGTCGCTCTGAGTCAGGCGTCGGGTGGGGATGCAGGGCGCGGCACACTCCCGAAGTGAGACAGCAAACCACTTCCTTGATGTGCGTTTCCGGCACGTTGCATCGTTTGTCTGGGGACTGGCATGGTTACGCTGCAGGAATCACTCCTGGTGCATGCCACAGGTGGGGCTGGGGGGAGGTGGGGTCGGGGGGGGGGGGGAGCTGCACGGATGATGGGTGCGTTTGAGCAAGAGAATCTGTGTTTCAAGTTGTACCGCCTAGTGAGGCCCACAGCCTGTGTGTGTGTGTTTGTGTGTGTGTGTGTCCCTGATGCCCCCTCCTGGAGGGGCTGAGCCC